CCCCCCCCCCCCCAAAAAAAAAAAAAAAAAAATCCTACCGATCCATTTTTTTCAGTCATGTTACCTGAAACATAGATATCTATTTTTTGTCCCTTTAATGTCTGTTCCTTTGTAAACTAAACGTTGTATCCCGACAGGCCAGCGAGGCAGGACGGTGGCCGCTGAAGTGGTATGCCCCAGAGTGTGTGTACTACTGGAAGTTTGACACCAAGTCTGATGTATGGAGCTATGGTGTTACACTGTGGGAGGCGACATCATACGGTGAAAAACCATACAGGGTACGTATCTATATTAGTTACACCTGACTTTACTGACCCCCCATGGTAAGAACTTAATGTGATATCCATCATGTATTTAGAGTCTTAAGAATGGTCTTAAAACCTTGGTTAACTGGCACATGCATGTCTGACAACAAGACAAGATCCAATCTCTCTAGAGACTACAAGTAATGTTTGTGTTTGTATAATTAATGCTCTGTAACACGTATTTCTCTGCACAAAAATGTCATAACTTTTGGTATAATTATTAGGAATTCTTCATTCGTTAATGAGATAACACAAAAATGCAGTGGTATTCATACTGAATATGAAAAATTGGGATTGTGGGGTTGTTTTTACAGAAAAATGTTTTGACAATGACACAATATGTACATGAAGATCTAATATTACTTCACTAAGCTAATCGTAATAAGTCGATGGTGTGATAAGGGTAATACTGTACCTGTAAAAATATCTGTGTACTAACTCTGATACTTACCTGTATAAAATACATTAACTACGATACCTGTGTACTTACTTTGATACTTACCTGTATAAAATACCTTAACTACGATACATGTGTACTTACTGTGATACTTACCTGTATAAAATACCTTAACTATGATACATGTGTACTTACTGTGATACTTACCTGTATAAAATACCTCAACTACGATACATGTGTACTTCCTGTGATACTTATCTGTATAAAATACATTAACTACGATACATGTGTACTTACTGTGATACTTACCTGTATAAAATACCTTAAATACGATACCTGTGTACTTACTCTGATACTTTACACCTGTATAAAATACCTTAACTACGATACCTGTGTACTTACTTTGATACTTACCTGTATAAAATACATTAACTACGATACCTGTGTACTTACTTTGATACTTACCTGTACAAAATACCTTAACTACAATACATGTGTACTTACTGTGATACTTACCTGTATAAAATACCTTAACTACTATACATGTGTACTTACTGTGATACTTATCTGTATAAAATACCTTAACTACGATACATGTGTACTTACTGTGATACTTATCTGTATAAAATACCTTAACTACGATACCTGTGTACTTACTCTGATACTTTACACCTGTATAAAATACCTTAACTACGATACCTGTGTACTTACTCCGATACTTACCTGTATAAAATACCATAACTACGATACCTATGTACTTAATCTGATACTTACCTGTATAAAATACCTTAACTACGATACATGTGTACTTACTGTGATACTTACCTGTATAAAATACCTTAACTACGATACCTGTGTGCTTACTCTGATACTTACCTGTATAAAATACCTTAACTACGATACATGTGTACTTACTTTGATACTTACCTGTATAAAATACCTTAACTACGATACATGGGTACTTACTTTGATACTTACCTGTATAAAATACCTCAATTAATTGTCTTTTATATTACCTGTAGAAGATGAAGGGGCAAGAAATATTGGAGTTTGTGGAAAACAACAACAGACTGACCAAACCTGAGCATTGTCCGGAGGACATTTACGTTATAATGTTGGAATGTTGGAAATATGAGTATGTGTTATCTCCCCTTGATAAATATCTAAATTAACAAAACTTTGGTGCACTCCGGTCCCTTGTTCATAAGTTTTACTTTTGATAAAGAATTGTGAGTGTGTCCCAGTTATTCTGAATACAAATGTAAATGTCATTGATATATCATTACATGGGTGTGGGTAAGCATTTGGTTTAAAAACAATTTTCCTGTTTATATAAATTTATTGCTAATCTTCGAAGTTGACTTCCACAGGTAACAGTGTCTAATATATGTTTTAATGCATATTTTATTGGTTGCAATGGACCTTTTCAAATAAACATTCTATAATTTTAAACAAAGTCACTTTCTTGGTCACCCTTTTACTGAGTAACTAATTCTCTATCAAGAAATTTAAATGTTCATATAAATAAAATTTCTCTGTAAAGAAAAAAACAATCAACCACTGAGCTTCCAAATAAAGCAAAATGTCCGGACTATAATATCACAAAATTCAAGTGTAACATATAGTTTAAGTTTAACTCTACACAGGAACCAAAATTGTTGAGGGTAATGTGGTTTTACTGTTCCTACTGTTTCCATAGTGTCACGACTGACGAGGTCCTGTGATAGTGTCATGACTGACGAGGTCCTGTGATAGTGTCACGACTGACGAGGTCCTGTGGTAGTGTCACGACTGAGGAGGTCCTGTGATAGTGTCACACCTGACGAGGTCCTGTGATAGTGTCACACCTGATGAGGTCCTTTGTTAGTGTCACGACTGATGAGGTCCTTTGTTAGTGTCACAACTGATGAGGTCATAGTGTCACGACTGACGAGGTCCTGTGATAGTGTCACGACTGACGAGGTCCTATGATAGTGTCACGACTGACGAGGTCCTGTGTGCGTAAGCCATTAACATGAACTATCATTACACAGAAGTCTAACTGTTTTTTCATTTTTCAGCAAAAAAGAGCGGCCTTCATTTTCGGAGTTAGCGGTGAAGATGGAATACCAGTATAGAAGTCTAAAGGAGAATGGAGGCTGAACATATCTGTAACTGGTGAAGAGAAAAAACTGTTGATTCTACAGTGTTGACAAGTGACACCAATCATGTTTATCACCTAGATTGGTTCTTTATGCTACTTTTAACACAGTGCTACACACATTAAGGGTGAAAGCTTTACCAAGTATAATTATATACCACAAATTCCAGATGGATAACAAGCTAGTTATTCTTTTCTGAAGGACCAGCAAAATGCATGTACCGGTATTCAGTGATAGGAGATGTTTCATTCTTCTTAGTGTAAAAATATGCTTTAAAGTTTTAAATTTTCAGCTGACCAAATCATGATTGTTTAAAAATATTTATGTGCATAGATACATGTTTTTTCTGTACCTTAACTTAAGGAAATTCTTTTACTTCAGTTTTCCATAAAGCATCATCATAGTTTATCTTCAATGAAGAAAATTTGCCTTACATTCAGTTATATTTACATTTGCGCTGCAACCCACTATATGAACATTACCAGAAGAAAAACATTTCATTTGAGTATGAAAGCAAAAACTCTCGTGACGTAACACATGGTTTACTTATGACGTCCTAGATTAGTCTGTTAAATGAGAGTCTTGTCACTTCACTTTGGATAACATGGAGAATGACCCTGCGTCAAACACTTAAATGACTACGATTAATTATTGGCGCCAATTTTAGTTAAATAGGGCCAATGTCGTTTGAAGGACGCACATATACAAAACACATTAGATAAATTAATTATTTAAGAACAAATCATATATGTACTAATCTGTAAAAAAGGTGAATAGTTAGTATACATTGGTGAAACATCAAATATGATGAAAGAAAGAATTCAAGGACACCTACATCTGATTAGATCTGGAGATACATTTAATTCAGTACCACTACACTTCAACAACAACGGGCACACAGTAAAGGATCTCAAAATTGTAAGAATAGAAATGGTTAAGAAGCCCAGAGTAATATTTAGGCTTGAGAGGAGAGGGAGAGATTTTATATTAACAAGTATGGTACTCTCAACCAATTGAATAAAAAAGAATAAGAAATAAGTACAGGAAATTATGACGTCAAAATGACATCTATGACGTCATAAGGTAGTTTCCTTAGTGATGGACATAAACATGGAGGCATTTGATAAAGATGGCTGTGCTATTGAAACATTGTGCAAAAACAAATCATAATTAATGAATTTAAGAACAAATAAATAAAATTAAACACTATGGTTATATAGGTAAAGTGTAAATCTATGGATTGAACGGCATATTTTTAATTTTTATGTCAGTATGAACGCAAATCTGTTACATCTATATTAAACATGAAACGCTAGCGGGCTTCATGCAGTATGGATGTAACCGATTTGCGTTCATACCGGCATGAAAATTAAAAAAACATTGTCCAATCCATATATGTATGCATTACTAATGGCAATTTTAAGTTAAGGAATTTCCTAAAGTTAAGAAAAGTTCTTGGAAGATGAATATCAGTATAGGGCCTGGTACTGTTATCCTACATATTATAGAGGTATTCCTATTTTAGTGCCTTTTGCACCATCTCTGATGTGCTTATTTATGTACAGTGCTAGATGTGAATTTTAAAGGATACAATTTCCAATGTCATTTGCTCAAGCACATAGTTAATTGGTGAACGATAACTTAACATAAAATTTCAATAATATTTAATGTATTTAGATAACTAAAGGATGATTGAAATTCAAATCTAAAATTTGAGAATGTTCATTTAACATATTGATCATATTTTGCAAGTTGTCAGAAATCGTATTTTGAAAACTTCTTGATAACAAGTTGTTAAGCTAACCATGCTTTGAACACAGACCCCATACATGACTCTGCCGATGTCAAGTACATTCAGAGTTAATTAAAATCAAAGCACCTGTACCTAACAGAACTATTCTGGACTGATATATCAATATAGTGTGGGTCAATCCTCTGACAGTAGAGTGTGTATGGTGTGAATACGTGTAAGAGCATATTGCGATAAATTATAGAAAGTTAGGAAGAAAATAGTTTCTTTGAATCACTAATAAAAGCAATATGAATTCCATAAAAGATTAGTTGCCAATTTTGGTACAAAAACTGAAATGGATCAAACTCCATTTTATCCAACTTATTTCATTCATTCTGCAATAAACTCTGGTAATTCCTGATTCGAACAAGGTGCAGGCTTACAATAGGACATTGAAGTGATACTGTTGGCTTTTATTGACTGATCAGCAATAGTAGGCGTATTACCAGATATCGGCTTATTGTTGGATCAATACTGTAGCATATCTACTGTACATTAGATAAGAAAAAAACAGCATTTCTATTACGATCTCAAATGTTTGAAAATAACTGAAAATATCATTTTAACTGTTTGGAAAAGTCGATCTGAAATATTTTACCTAAAATCCTTCCTGCTACTATAGAAACTAAATCCTGTAGATGACTTTAAGAAGTTTCTCTTTACATTGGCCATTTATACTCGGAATCCATGCATACTAAATATAGTGTTGAAAAACAACAAGATTTAACAGACAGTCTCATGGATTTTCAATCCTGCCAATATTTTCAGCATTCAAACATATTATATGCTAAGTAGGAGTGAATCCAGCTATCCACAGAAAGTAGCTACATATATCAGCAGTTCTAAAACTATTTACAAACATTTTAATAAGTAAATGGGATACAACACACAACATACTTTGTAAACAAGCTCATGTGCTCTGCTGTAGAAGTTGTAGGGCACTTAAATTTACATGTGTTTTGTATTAATTCATAGTCAGGAGATGATGAATGTGAAATGATGAAATATATCTGACAAAAACTTTGTCAAACTTATCAAGTTACAGGCACATACTTGCTATCAGTTTTATTTGTACAAGTTGAAATAACTTGTTTCACAATTATTGTAAAATAAATAAAGTTTACAGTCTTATATAACATATTAAGTTACAGACACATACTTGCTATCACTCATACATAAAATTTAAATTCTTGCAAAGAAAACTAAAATACCATCCAAAATCGATTTATTGACAGTATCCATTATTTTTATGATTTTATAAATGAATTCTATAGATTTTGTACAATATAAGATTGTTTTGTAGCACAAGTAAATCACATACAATGGGATCCTGTGTTTTAGTCTGAAGACAGTTTGATGGCATTTTGGTTTTAATTTGAATGCAGATATCTTGAAATATGAAGCAGCTAGTTTGTACATCTTACTGTACATGTACATCTGTATAGCATTCATATCTGTGGTTCATGATGGTAGTCAATTGTTCCTTTGTGACCAGGATTTTTTCTTTCTGTAAGCAATTTGAGGAGAAACTTCATTTCTTGGTCCATATTTAAAAGTCTGCTTTCATGACTAGATAAGAAAATAGCCTGTTGAATGAAATTTTGTGTGAAGAAATTCATTTCATATTAGTTTTGCTGTTGTTTGAAAGTGCTAACAATTGTAATAAATACATATTTCTATTTTGCTAATTTCAGAATGTTCATGTATGTATATTTCTCACTGACACATGCACCATTGATGGAAACAATTATTATCACTATGTAACGGTGCTGGCACTTGCTTTCATATTTATCTAACAGTGTCTCAAAATCAAAATTTTGCTGACCTTTCCAGGCCTATTTCTCGTTTCCCAAAATTATTTTTTCAATTGACCAATCAATGAAGGGTTTTTAAGTTGTCATGGATACAGGTATTTGTTTACAATACATTTGTTAGGTACTTAGACCTGTTTTGTATAATGATCCATTTCAGCATCTAGTGTCCTTTCACTAATTAATAAAAATGTTTTGTTAATAGAATTTATTAACAAGTTAATCAGTTGTTGAGAACACTGTATCAACATTTCCACTGACGTTTTACCCCATAGTTTTTAAAGCTTGGGATAGAGAGTCTGAAACGGAAAATTTAATATTTTGAAGTGTAAAAAAGACAGCTTATTTTTAACCTGATCATTTTTTAAACGAATTGATACTGGATTGATCAGTGTAACACATCAAATATTTCAGAACAATTTCCTGGTTATTCATTAACATAGATTAACACCTGGAAAATGTTCTTCATTTAGTTGTGTACGTATTTATCACTTTTCTAAAATCATCATGTACATATGTATGCTCAACTTTGTCCCTGTCTTTCAATAGTTACATTATGTAGTTTTACATTTTAGATGACAATATTGATTTTATGGTACTCATTTAAATGATGTTTTATGTCATGTCAGTGAGCAATCATATATTTGCATAATCAATCATTATACCCAGGTATTAACATAAAATATTGATGACAAAGTAAACATTTTCTGCTTACATTTATAATTCTAATGCTGTGCAGTACTTGGAGGAAGAGCAGATGACGATATTTGATTGCAGTTAATTGTAACTTATTATGAAATATCTTCATAACAGATAGTGACATATTTTTTCTCTTTAAACTCATAACTTTTTTGTTTCATAAAATATGAATGAACAGACTGAAATTTGTGTCTACCAGACTACCACATGGTTTTACCTTGTGATTGTTTTATCAAATCACAATGCTAATTCTATCAAGATCAATTCTAAACAAATAACATTTAATTTTAGCTTATGATACAAAAATGGGTCTATTTAAGCACAGTAGCACAATATTCGATACATTGTGTATATGCTCTCTATCAATAGGCGAAACGTCCCAGGTAGCATGACATAAGAAATATACAATTTCGTCACATCTTTGTACAGGTAAACAATACTCAGGCTCACTCAGTCATAGCTTGTCAAAGGGACCAGTGGGTCTTGAAACGTTGCGACATGTTAAATGCGTACATTGTTTGTGTGAAAGTAAAACTTTGATATCACATATTTCCAAACTGATGAATCTTATTGAAGGGTCTTTTTGAAGATTTCTACTGACATATACCTATATAAGTGTAATCTGAAATTTTGTTTTAATTCTGAATAATAGTGTAATAATCCCATTTCTCATGAAAACTGGCCAAGTAATACTGAGTATGCCGACATCCTGTCTAATCTGACTGACACAGTTTGTCCCACAAGGGTGTCAGATTAGACAGGTTTACAGTACCATCCATTTGTGTAGGGAAGTTTTCATTAAAAGTATTAAAGTTATTGGCAAAATGATTTGAGGAAAGATTATGATAAATGTATTTGTCACATGTCTACCAGAGTTTGGTTTACTCTAATAACATACTTTAGTTGAAAACAGGGTTTACCTTTTTAGAAGAATGACATTCCAGTTAGCTGCGATGCTGGTCCAGTCATAAACACATGTACATTCCATTTTGGAGATTTTTTGTTTTTAGATGCTCCAGCCATAAAGACATTACATTATGGAGAATTTGGTGTGTTTTTTTAGATGAAATTGCAGATAATATTTTGAAGCATGGTTTTTTAATTTTGAAAAAACAAAATGTCATGTTCACTTTATTCTCGTATGTAAAGTTTGTGCCACGGAATTAGATAAGTCTGTGGTTTGTACATATTTTTACTGTGTATATAATCAAAGCATATCAAGTGAACAATTTCTTGTAAACATTCCAGGCTTTACACCTCAGTTGTAGCCTTACCTGAAGTGTTATTTCCATGTCAGACACCTTTGATTAGTATTGTCCTGGTCATAGAAGTTGTTTTACATGATCTGTTTACCCTATTATAGTAGGCACACAAGCAAGTGTTGGTAAATGGCACAGAATCAGATAATCTAATGGTAATTGATATAAGGTATGCATGCACCATTTCTATCAGCTGGTAAATCATTGTGAAATTCAGAATAAATTTTAGATTTTGGTAAGAGAGGAATATTAATAGTGCTGTATGCCATCATTTGAAAGTGTATATGTCTGTCTTCTTTTAACCTCCAAAGTATCGCATGTCTCTTTGCTGCATTTTACAAACATTGTCCACCTCCACACCCATGTGACTTGTCAGTCATGTGACCTGGTTCACTGTTGTCATGTGACCTGGTCCACTGTTGTCATGTGACCTGGTTCACTGTTGCCATGTGACCTGGTCCACTGTTGTCATTTGACCTGGTTCACCATGGCCATGGGGAAATTTTGACTTGCAAGTGATGCTTACCGATAGTCACATGACCTATTTTACATGTGACTTATTAGCTATGTGACTTGGATGTCATGCAATATCAAAGTCATATCCCTCAGTTGCCACATAACTTGATAGTCATGTGACTTTTGTTGCCATGTAACTTGGAATTCATGTGACTATATGGTCGCATGACTTTTGTTGTCATACATGTTTGTATCTTGTGATGTGGATGTTTTAAGGAAACAAGTCTGTTAAGACTTTTTCTTGACCTTGACCTTATTCTGAGGTCACTTATATCATCATCTTTACATGATGTAACACATTGTTATTCTTTGTATCTCATATAATATGTGCACTGCTGGGAAATTAAAGTGAGTCTTGTTTCCCACAATCGTCTCTATGTAGAAAGATTCATTTGTATACCATTATTTATTACAGTATAGTTTTTGTCACACTTGTCAACTTATTTCATATTTTATCAATAAAATAAATCACCCTGAAAACCTACCTTTATTATTTTATATATAATATCCTCATACTTGATTGGTTGTCTGTGTCTCTGTCTCAAAGTCAACTTTGACATGAATGCTTTATACCAACTTATCACAACAACTAATCAGAAAGGCACTACAGACCTACCAAAGTGTTACTACATTAGTAAATAAAGATGAGTGCTCCATAGCATGTCATACACCCTTGGCTTTATAATATACCCTACTGGAGTCAGTTAATTATTCTTGTGTAAGACAATCTGTGAACCACCCATCTTTCTTTCTTTGTGTGTGATTAGGTCTACATGTGTTTATCATTCATTATGTCCTGTTCTGTGAACTTATTGTTAACAAACTTGCCAAAATCATTGTTTCACAGACTAGATTTATTCAATGCTTTAGTATAGGCCCATATTCCAAAATTGCCGATTTCTCTTTTATCATAATTATTATGTTTCTTACAGCTTGGAAAGCATTGTTAGTCTCATTTCTGGACATCGGACATGGTGGATGAATTTACACCCTACAAGAACACAATGACACATGTATAGGAAACATGCAGTAGACACCACATTGTTACTAAAACATTATAATAATAATAACAATAAACAACATTTATATAGCACCCAATATAATTTGTAAAATTACTCTAAAGCGCTTTACAACATATGGATAATAGTAATGGTTATAATTGTGAAAACAAAGGCTTACAATCACTTTTATACAATAAGCAAGCAATGTGCACATAATTGAACAAATATAGGGTGGTATTTGAAGAGGTGAGTTTTGATGTCCCTCTTGAACTTGGCCAGGGTATTTGACTTTCTAATAGCAGATGGTAAGCTATTCCACAACGTAGCCGAAACCCTCCCAAAGCATCTGTTTCCGTAGGTCACAGTACGAGATTTTGGGACACAACAAAGATTCCGACTCCGACCGAAGTGATCGTGACGGCTGATACAGGGTAACAAGCTCCTGTAGGTACTGAGGAGCTGCATGTTCCATTCAATGCCTTGTATACATGTGTACACAAGAATTTTGTACTGCGACCTGTATCGTGCAGGTATACGTAACCAGTGCAACGAATAAAGCAGAGGTGTGATGTGCTGTCTCTTTTGAGTACGAGTAACTAGCCGTGCTGCAGTGTTCTGGACCCTCTGCAGACGACTAGTTAGTTTGTCAGATATACCGAAGAGCAGGGCGTTACATAATCCAACCGAGAGATAACAAGTGAATGCACCAAAATCTTGCATGCATATGCAGTTAAAAACTGCCGAATACAGCCGATGTTCCTGGTCTGGGGGTAACATGATTTGGCAATAGCGTTCACTTGTTTCTCCATGTTCAGTGAACTATCAAAGTATACTCCTAGGTTTTTAACAGCTGGAACAGACTCAATAGTTCTGGCACCAACCTTGAGCTGGAGAGTCATTGTTCGCTGACACTTTGGGGAAAAGACGATTAGTTCCGTCTTTTCCTGATTAAGCTTAAGCATGTTGGTGTTCATCCAGATACTGATATCTATCAGACAAGCTTCCAGACCTTTCTGAGACTGTATTCCAACTGTCCTGTGGTTTGATGACCATGTAAATTTGTGTGTCATCGCAATCGGCATAGCAATGATAGCGAAGGCTATGGCGACGACAAATTTCTCCAATCAGTTTGCATTTTGGAGTACATACAATATTTTCATGGTCCTAACACCGACCCTTGAGGAACCCAGAAATCGAGTACTTTTTCATGTGAGGTGGAAGATCCGATGGCAACACACATTACACTGTACCTATTACAAGGTATCATATCATTATCTGTATAATGACATTTACATCAACAATTTCTTTAAACGACTTCTTCTTCTTTACCACTGATTGGAGTTTAACTAAATTTGACTGGAAGCATTCCTAGGTGTCGGAGATTCAAAATTGTACAAACGACTTCTTCTGTAGAACTGTGCACTGGATATCGATCATATTCAATCAAAAGCATTCATGGGAGGCAGGGATTCAAAATTGTACAAATTGTGTGGCTTATCCCCCAGGGGGCGGGGCCAAAAAGGGTTATTTGGCTATATTGCTTTAAGCGACTTCTTCTCTCGAACTAAGAGATGGATATCAATCATGTTTGACTTGAAGCATCCCTAGGTGGTGGGGATTCAAATTTGTACAAATGGTGGGGCTGACCCCCAGAGGTTGAGGGAGTGGCCAAAAGGGGGCAATTTGGCTATACTGCTATAAACGACTTCTTCTGTAAAACTATGCCATGGGTATCAATGATATATGGTCAGAAGCATTCATGGGAGGCATGGATTCAAAATTGAACAAATGGTTGGGCGGACCCCCCGGGCTAAGGGATGAGGTCAAAAGAAGGCTATTACTTGGAAATGGTTAAGATCCCCACTATATAACCATATATACAATTTCTGAGTAAAGAGAGAAGAATGCACATTTGCTTTCAGGATGGCCCTAGGGTCTGGCCCCACCCTTGGAGACATAGTCCCTGTGCCATAACTTTAAAACGATTGAGATCCCCACCCAAAACTATATATACAAATGTTGGGCATAAAGAGACAAATGCAGTGATGATATTAGAATATACCCTTGGGTCTGACCGAACCTGTTGGGACCTACTTTCTGAGTCACAGCTTGAAAACAGTTGAGATCCCCACCCCATAACCATACATAAAATTGCTGGGCTTGAAAAATCTAATACAGATATGCTACAAGGATTGGCCTTGGGGTGTGGCATATTCCCTTGGATCTCATTTGGAGAATATTTTACCATGATTGCTTTGATATCCAGGTGAGCGATACAGGCCCTATCGGCCTCTTGTTATTAATAATCATATTTCATACTTATGATTTATTTCACAATATCTTCACTGATTTCATTGCCTTAATATAACAATGCTCATGGACAAAATAGACTTTATAACCTATTTAACTGGCTAATATATTACACAATACTAAGACTAATAACATATATCATTTGTAATATACATTATTTATGTTATATATAACTGTAATGAACTTACTCTATCAATGTGACAAGGGTTCCAATATCCTGATAATCCAGTATATAAAAATTGACTAACTGCAGGCGAATCTGAACAAATAACCAATTGACTATTTACAGTACTTGCAAGAACAATCAAAAGCTATTACAGTAGTAGTATATAATATATTTACATTATCTCATACTAGTTTGGAGAGTTAATACAATTTGTTTTAACGTCAGCTATTACATAAAAAGAGTATCTTCAAAATTACATTAATTTTGAGCATATTAAATCCTACCTTTTTAGGTCACCTGAGCTTTGCTCAAGTGACCTATTTCGATCACTTTCCGTCCGTCGTCCGTCGTGCGTTGTGCGTAAACTTTTTACATTTTTTTTTCACATTTTTTCAAACTTGGTCAGAATCCTCCTTGGTAGATGTGGCTACAAAATTACAAAATTGGGATTCTTACCCAAACCCTAGGGGCTAGGGCGGGGCCCAAAAGGGAAAATTATCCAATATTTAAAAAATCTTCTCCAGAATCAGAGGTACTACAATCATTTTCTAAGCATGGATAGAAAGATCACTAGAGGCTTTATTTAAATTGTAATTTTTAGGAACCCCGAGCTATTCTTTCTCCCTTGAGGAGGGGGTAAACTTTACTATAGTTTATATAGGGAAATAACACTTTTGTGTATATTTTGACAATTTTTTGTAGGAAATCATTCTTACCTGGTGAGAATTATCCTTGGAGGAAGATTGTTTTAAAATGTAAAATTGGGATTCCTACCCCAACCCTAGGGGCCAGGGCGGGCCCCAAAGGGAAAATTTACCAATATTTCAAAAATCTTCTTCTCCAGACTCAGAGGTACTACAGTCAATTTCAGTGCATGGATTAGAAAGATCATCATGAGCTCTATTGAAATTTCAATTTCAGGACCCCTGAGCCATCCGTTCCCCCTTGGGGAGGGGGTAAAGCTTACTAAAATTTATATAGGGAAATCACACTTTGGGGTATATTTTATCCATTTTCAACAGAAAATTATTCAAACTTGGTCAGAAATATCTTTGGTGGATGAGGGTATTTCATGTACATTGTAAAATTTGAATTCCTGCCCCATCTCCAGGGGCTAGGGAGGTGCTCCACAATATTTAAAATTCTTATCGTATGATGACATGACAACTATTGTATTTCACTTAGTTTACATGCTGATTTCCACATCACATCTAAATCATAAAATAAAGCTACCAATACCTATGATATAACTCAGGTGACCGCTAAGGCCCTTGGACCTCTTGTCTTTATGATCAACCCCTCCAACATGTGTGCCAGAACAGATTTTTCACTAAGGTGAATTGCATGGGCAGGTAAGAAAGGTCACCTGACCAACAGGTGAGTATGGGGTTACAGATCACAAACTGGTCACAAGCTACAGAACAAAACATAAACAAAAGCACATGGCACTGAACAACTGACACATGGACAATGACACTGAACAAGACTAGATACTACAAACAATACATGTACACCTGTTTAAATAAGACATAATTACATATTAAACTCCACTAATAATATTCCATTCGTCCACCTTTCTTAAAACATTCTAATTTAATTAATAACACTATCCATGATACTTGGACAGGCTATTCCTGTCACACCTGGAATATATCATAGCAAAATTGAAGGTACGAATATAGCTGTTTGATTGGTCTCAGGTTAAAAAAAACCTGACCAATCGCTTGGCTGATACCTGTCGAGACGCCCGACTTCAAAGCCTGTCAATTTTTACCGTTACGTGACCGCGAGATTCTTTTGACCAACTAGTCTCCTTGTCTCATCAACAAGGTGGCGCACACCTTGCCTTCAATTTTTCTATGACAATATTCCAGAGGTGGAGAGAGCGAACGTGAGGGTAACCCCTGGATTTTGAGGATGTGTTGGTCTGGGCCGTTAATGGATGTTTTATATAGAGTAAAAGAATAATAATGTATAAATTAATTTGGCAATAGATAGTTTATCAATCAAACTCGTTCAAAGCCATGTGGTCAGAAAAAGAATGAACAACATTTGGAATTTTGAAGAAAATTTTGCATTAAACAACATTTAGAATGCTTCATTTTGAGAAGTAAAACAAAAGAAACATTTGCTATTATCATTTCAGTATGCTCTTAAATGTAGGTACCCTTACAGAAATAGAAAGTTTGCGGCGATATCAAACGCACAAATCAGTTCGCCGGAAGTGCACAAAATATCGCCGCTGGCGGTGACATTCTAGTGATGTACTGGCACACATTTTATGTCGCCAGAATGTCACCAGAATATCGCCAGAAGTGCATCACAGATAAAACACTCTAGTGATGTTCTGGCACACATTTCATATCACCAGAATATCGCCAGAATATCACCAGAAGTGCACCACAGATAAAATATTCTAGTGATGTTCTGGCACACATTTCATATCACCAACAACTAACATTCTAATGATCCTAATATTAGAACGAATATTCATAACCTGCTTACTCTCTGCTCCGTCAGCCGACCATCTATCAGAAATCGTCCGTCCGTCGTCCAGAGCTACGCTATCGCAGCTAGTCCTAATATAGTTGACCCCCAAATTCACAAACACAAAATGGCTGATGAATGATGAAGGAGTGCGCATAGTGAAAGGAAAAGTTGGGGGGAATTAAGGAAGGCTTTAGGTTGGGTTTTTTTTTTTTGATAAAGTGACAGCATTCTTGAGTCTTATAAGGTAATGCAGAATATATGTTTTCTTCTATAAAATGTAGGTGTTCCGGGATCCCTTCGTATGTATTAAATCCTTCATTTTAAGAAATAGGTTCTGGTGTTGGTATTTAGATCAAGGATGAGCTATCTACCTACATTCATTGTATGTGTAAATGATCAGTCAACGGGTAAACCACGGACCTTGATAGCAAAGTCTAATTCCAGGGCTTATTATCGCAAGTACTTTAGCGGCATGTATCTGAAAGTACAACTGGGCCGGTTTCTCTAGTAAAAGCCGTCCTATCACCTAGAATGGCCTGTAGCATCCCTCGGAAGGTTATAAGTCACACAAATGTACACCACAGGACTCTGCAGTCAATTTTACCGAGATTTAATCCTAACTCAAAGCAGAGACGTATACCTATATAAAGCCATATACGTCTCTGCTCCAAGTACTTTGATCACGAACGAAGTCGATGGATAAGTTAGTTTCCCGTTGATAAGACTAATTATGGTAGGAAATGTCAAATATGTATTTTTCATATGAATGGTCAGTGGACGTATACCGGATTTCCCTTCAATGAGTCATCCGGGAATCGTAGACCTATAACTAGACATCGGAAGTCATTTATAACTACACGCGTACATTTATATATTTACACGTACATGTAAGTATATTTATGACCATCTGTTGTTAGAATTTTTTAACTTAAGGGCATATGCTAATATACCTGGCATTGTGACATGTATCTCATTGCCAGAATACTTCCACACTGATACAGTTATGAATGGGGACTATGACGTAAAGCAGGAACATGTTTGGCGTAGGAAAGATAGTTTACGTAGATACATGTATAGAAAGGTTGGGAAATAAATAAATTCATTGTTTCAATGGTACCAGGCATGTTTTGATGCGAGGTGTTAGGTGGGATCGACTTTAAGACATGTAGAGCTTTCCGCCAATCTCGAATACACAATCAATGGGGATGTCGTTTTACTGAAAGTTTATTTAAACCCCTGAAACGTCTAATATCACTGCTGTAACAAATCTTCAGGTCCCTGTGACGGTAAAGCGTACAATCAACTCCAAATTAAAACACGTCCTGCTATACATTGTACACGTGATATTGGAGTATTTAATTAATTATAGTAATAACAAGAATGGAAGAGGCGAGTGTCCAGGGGTCAAACTAGGACCTCTATCGTCAATCATCATTATAATGGTACATACCCTGCTATCTAGGTGGTAAATGCTGGTTTGAAAATGAAAGATAAATAACATTTTTATAGAAAAAAAGGCATTTGGGTTACATTACTTTACTGCTGTACATTATGCATGTCAATCGTAAGACCCCAGGAAGACAGAAATAAGACGCCTTCAGCTAAGCAAACTTACTCCTTTACCACAACTGTTAGTGTGTCTTTTTGTAAGATGTAATTATCAAGTATTACCTACTTAAACGCGTCCAGAAGACACACAAACATGTAAATAACCTCCTTTGCTATTTACCTTTCAAGGTGACTTTTGTCAGCTGATTTATTTACCTAAATTAACTCTAGAATAAACATGTTTGCGAATCAGGAAAGTAAACGACCTTCATATTTTCTCTGTTGAATGCAGTTTTAACAGCAATTGGCACATACTGCTTAACTAAGTCCTAACAGCCTCCGAAATGCATGAACAGAGCATGTACATGCATGTAACGTCCATGTCCTCAATACATGTCTGTTACCGCCAGGCAAGCTCCGTGATACCACATCAAACTAACACTCGTTTACATAGATTTACTGCATCCATTGTCAAATGCTACCGTACAAGTACATGTATACCTCCTCGAAGTTCAATTAAAATACTTCAAACCTAATTGCGACTACATAGATTTGGCATTTCAAGTTCGATATTTTTGCAGGGAGTTCCCATGAGATGGAGGCTTGTTAAAGTATATATATATATGTAGGTGTTGTAGTGTGACTCCCAGGAGACGGATGCTTTTTAACGTATATATATATGTAGGTGTTGTAGTGTGACTCCCAGGAGATGGAGACTCGTTAAAATATAGGTGTTGTAGTGTAACTCCCAGGAGATGGAGACTTNATATATATATATATATATATATATATATATATATATATATAGGTGTTGTAGTGTGACTCCCAGGAGATGGAGATTTGTAGTGTGACTATATATAAATCGGAATTGATAAAAAAAAACCACCCAGAAACAGAAACGCGATTTCTTTGTTGTCCGATGATATGGGGCGCGGACAGAACTTATTTCAAGATATGTTTTGAGAAAAAACATCTAGATCTTCTACGGAATTTGATTATCTATCCACGGAATTAGATTATCTAAGTCCATGATCTATCTTAGTCCGTGGTACCTTGATCATGAGAAGACCCCAGTTTAAATAATATAGAGAGAGTTAAATTCTTTACATACACACATAATAGATCTCAAGTGTCCAGCCCATATGACATATTGAATATAACACACATATATGTGCAGCTGGTCAGCTAGTTCAGACAGAATAGACTCCAACATATATATTAGTGTGACCTCATCATGACCTGGAATACTTCAGTGATCCGCACGGCGCATGAGACAGGTCAAGGTCATTAGCGCCGACTGTACGTGTGTGCACAAGCTACATGAGTGTGAGTGTTGACATTGCCGTCTGCACCTACACACGCACGTAACATAAGATGGACGGAAGGAAGCTCTCACGCCATTTCTCAAGAGCAGGTTCGTAATATCAGAAATATTTTGTGAACGGTTTGTTATTCAAAATGATAAAAATGGCTGCCTTTATCCTCAGAACAGTGTCTAGATCTGTGCTATTGAAGTGTGGTATGGCCTACATGTATGTGTGTGGCGCTTACGGTATACGCTTACACCTGCAGTACTCCGGTCCACTGATTGTAGTCTAGATAAAATACAACAGTTGTAATATATCCTGCACGTAAGGGTTAATGCCCTGTTCAAGACAATCAAACTGTTTACATGTTTATAGAATTGTAGTTCATAATTTTATGTAGCACTATGAAACCCATATTCCAATCGATGTAACACTAGGCAAATACATACATGAGCTTACGGACCTGAGGTGGGTATCTGTGTCACATGCCCCATATATTGTGCATTTCATGGTGAAGTACAACGATAAAAAAAAATCTGCAGGCAGTGCAGTATTGTATGTGTCCGTTTTCATTTGATATTGGGTAATTCTCTCTTGTTTTCTGAGAAATCTTTCACAGTTTGATGAGGTAATGGAACGGGATTCACTGTAACATAACTGGCGGGTATTGTGTCGGTAGCAGACCCTGCGTTGGCACATTTAATCATAATACTATTCCCAGCTCTCGTACTTTAATAATTGGCTTGGAAACCCGATTATTTGCTTACGGCGCATCCTAGGTCGTCAATACAACGGATTACTTCCCAAATGGTTATGATACATCGTAGCCTGTCGGTTTTGGAGAAAAATCAATAAATCACAGACGTTGTCTCTATATTAACAATATGACACCCCCCCC